CTGAGTGCTCCATTCCAACATTTAACATTTCTTTCCCAGAAGAATTCCCCTGATGTCCAACATGAACCTCTCCTGGTGCATTTTGACACTGTTTCCTATGGTCTTGTTTCTTGTTGCCTGGGAGAAGAGACTGACCCCCACTTTGCTACAACTCTTTTCAGGTACTTGTAGAGGGTGCTAATGTCACCCTGAGCCTCCTTTTCTCCAGGATAAACAAGCCCAGCTCCCTCAGGTGCTCCCCATGGGAGTTTTTATCCAGGCCCTTTACCAGCTCCATTGTCCCTCTCTGGGTACTCCAGCACCTCAGTGTCTTTCTGTGATGAGTGGCCCAGAACTGCACACAGGACTCGAGCTGTGGCCTCCCTTGTGCTGAGCACAGGGAAACAATGACTTCCCTGGTCCAGATGGCCACAGTATTTCTGATACAGACCAGGGTGTCATTGGCCTTCTTGGCCACCTGATGCACTGCTGGATCATGTTTATCTGGCTGCTAACCAACACCTTCATGTCCTTTTCTTCTAAGCCACTTTCCAGCCACTCTTCCCCTAGCCTGTAGTGCTGGAGGGGGGTTGGTGTGACCAATGTGTAGGACTCAGCTTTTGGCCTGGTTGAACCTCATACAATTAGCCTTGACCCATTGATCCAGCCTGTCCAGGTCCCTCTGCAGAGCCTTCCTACCCTGCAGGACATCAACATTTCCAGCCAACTAAATGTCATCTGCAAACTTCCTGAGAGTGCAATTGATCCCCTCTTCTAGATCAGTAAAGATATTAAACATTACTGAGCCCTGGGGAATATCACCAGTGACTGGCCACCAACTGGATGTGTCACCATTCACCATGGGTCTCCATGTCCTGCCCATCCAGCTGGTTTTAACACAATGAAAAATGCACCTGTCCAAGCCATGTTCTTCCAGCTTTTCTAGGATAACTGAATATTAGTTGTTTCAGAACATGATTTATAAAGCAATATTAACCAGGACACTGCTGCAATTTTGTATGAATTTATAATTTTTCCCTTTTGTGGTCTTTATGAGTGTGATGATTTTCTAAGTAAATGCAGTGTGGTAGCTGTTGAAACGCTGCAATTTAGCATGTCAATTAATATGCGTTTGTAACAAGATACCTAATCTTAAATCTTCAGGGATATCATTAAGGGATATCATTACTTGAAGGCTACAGAGAAAGAAAACTTCAAGCTTTAAAATTATGTGTAAAAATAGAGAATGTTAATGGTTTAGGTCTAATTCTCAGTATTTAAGAATAGAAGACATTAAAGTCATCTGTGGACTTTAATCATATTCACTTGTTCACTGATTTTATAGCAAAGACTGCACTGATAACAGGCTAACACTGAACAGATTTTTGTTATTAAAATTATTTTTCCCCTATAAAGTTTAAATGTAATATTTAATATTTTTTTCCCTTCTAAGGTACATATGAATAAAAATATTTATGTGAAAAATTCAGCTTACCTCAATGAGGAAGACTCATCACTGTAAAGCTGTGCTCTTTTTACATGACAGGACCCTAACCTTTTGTCAGTGACTAAGATATGACTGCTGAATATGTATCAGAGATTTCTCAGAGGACCTTCATAGTCATATAAAGATTTGGCCACATCTCACTCCTAACAGAGGAATGTGTGCTAGCTTTCAGGATGACCGCCAAAAATCAGAATGAGAAATTATGGAACGTTTCTCAGGCACTTAGCTATTTAATATCATACTAACATTCTTATTTCTTCTCTCTTTCTCCTTTTTTTAAAATATTTTATTCCTTAGAAGTAAATAACTGCTGCTGAAAATTCCTGCAAAAAATAGAAGTCCTGATAAATTTAGCAAATCTTTAGGAAAATAAAAATAGAGTCTTAAAATAGAAAATATATGGCAACTTATTCTTTTAGTGTCTTTCCCAGTATCACCTACAGTAATGTAAAGGCAAAGTGTAGGCAGTTTAGCAAGCTTTCCTCTTACCCTCCTTTTATTTTTTGATTCTTCTATATTATCTCTTATCATGAAGTAGACAAACACTACTACTTGTAAGGCTTAACATTTCCTTTAAATCTGGCAACTGGCACATTGATGCTACTTAAATAATTGTGCAGTTTTGACAAGTAGTTTAAAATGCATGTCAATCAAACAACGAGACTCTTTTTTTCTCAGCTACTTCCACTGTGGACATATGGCATGGGAAAAAAAAATGGGGTACTTGTCATAAGGCTGCACCTACTGGTGTTATCTCCTAAGTAACAGAGCCATAGAACATAGCTTTCAAAATACTGTGAACTTTCCTGGTTTCCTTTTTTGGACTTGATGATCAGACAACTGTCACGCTGTATATTTTACTCAGATTAATTTATACCTAAAATTGGGTAATAATATACTAAAGAGAAGGTCTTGACTTCATTAAAAAAGAAAGAATCTTTGCCTGTAACTTCAGTAGACTACCTTGAAATGCTGTTTAATGTTTTATGAGTGTCAATTGTGCATCAGAACACAATCATGTGCTGTACCTCTACTGAGAGCACAGTAATAAAAAACTTTCCTAAAAAGTTTATCATCTAAAGCTGTCCATTATACAAGTGACTTTCCAAAAATAAGTCATTTTTAACCAACATGAAGCCTCTTATACATATACCTGGGTGTGCAATGATTTCTATAGTATTAAACAAGAACAACAAAATATAAGATATGCAGCACTAGTATGTATTGGAGACTAAACCCTTTTTGCCAGAAATAAATTTTAATTGGTTTAATAGGTCATTTCCATTTCTAGGACAACTCAGACTTCTTGCTATGACTGAGAGCAACACAGGATTTTCAGAAGGGCAGATGATAGCACTAACCCTTTGGAAGAAGTCAATACATGTTTTTCATCGAGAGAAGAAAGAAAAGGACCAAGACGAGTTCTAAGGAATTTATTTCTTTGGCTTCAGAAGTGTTAGGACTAAGGATAGAAAGAAGCAGTAGAAGTTCTGTGGCTGTTGTGAGATATATACATTTTTTGCCTATTGTTCCAATGTCCTACCCTTGTAAATGCCACTTGGTCTAGTTATAACACTGTTTTCATTTGTACTGGAAAGTCAGGAGGACATTGGGCTACCTAGCTCAGGGGTACATGAAAAGAAAGTTGTTTTTCTCTGTATTTTTCATTTTGGTGCCAAATGCAGCTAAACCAGAGCAGATACTTTACCTAATTAGATATATTTAAAGAAATTATTCTCTTTATTAAAGGCTTTAGAGCTAAGCACATAATTAGACCATGCTGTAACTAAGCTCCATTGAATTATAGATCAGTTTGCCTATAGCTAAGAGAACTAAGAGTTTTAATTGCTATATTTTTACCTTCTTATTTTTGTGTTTTTGTCTATAGTCAGGTAAGGATTTATTTTCATGTGTAGAGATTTATGTAGAGAGTCTGAGCAAATGAACTTTGTTGTTGATTATTTTATTTAATTGAATTGTAATCAGAGTTGCCAGTCTGAAGGGCCAGATTCTCAGTAGAACAAATTGAACATGTAATAAATGGATGTCCTTTGGCACCAGATAATATTCTGGGTGCTAGGAAATTCTTTGGTTACCTAAATTCTGTCTTATGTTTCATGGGTTATGAGCAACTGCAAAATTATTTTCTGATATTACATTACTGATTACAGCAAAGGCACAAAAGAAAGGACTCTATCATGTGATCTTGATGTATTAGAAATCCTAGGTAGCATAAAAAAAAAAAAAAAGAAGAAAACGCAAGTAACCTTTAATGTAAAACACCTTCTTCATACTTAGTATAGAAGTATTCCTGGAAGCATTGGTCTGATGCAAGATCTTCCAATGTAGTCTAACCATCAGACTATAAAGTCAAATTTACCCTGCACTTCCTCTCTGGTCCAGTACATCCTTCATTCTTATCTGCCTGGGGACTTGCTCAAAAGAGATACACAGATTTTTTTACACTCCAGTAGACGATTGTCTGAGTATGACATGAAGACTGAAGGCAGAATGCATTTGAGAGCTTTTAGGAAAAGGATGGGGATGAATCTGTGAGTCCAGCCTGCTCAGTGAGTGCACTAAGTAGTGTGCCATGCTGCGTGAGAAACTAGGGAAAGACTTCTCTTTGTCTGTGGTCTAAAACTGACCTACTTTAGATTTGTGTGTGAAGAGCACAGTCCTGCCGTGTTCTGTGGTCTCTGGAAGTGTTTAATGGATTGAGCTTTTGGGGTGATTCACACTTCACTCCTCCAAGTTTCTCAACCTAACCTGAGCTCAGACATGATCTAAGTGCTGAGCTGCTTAAGCCTGCCAAGCATAGGACAGTTCTGGGCACGTGCAGTGACTTAATAGGTACTGAAGAGATTTAACATCAAATGTTAGAGGGCTTACAGAGATTAGGTGTCTCCAGCTCAGAAGGTGAGTCAGGACTTTGCAATTACAATTTCCCCTCTGCAGCCTAAGCTTTATCCTAGTACCTAAATCTTGTACTTTAACCTGCGTTGGATGCACTCTGTATCTCAAATAAAGCAAGCAAAATCTATCACTATGAATTAGCAGGGTTCTTTTTTTCTAGTAGTTAACTGCAGAATCATATTTATTTAGAGAATAAATCTTAGAAACACATGAAATGCTCACCTGTGATCAAAACCCTATAAGTCACATTTCTTTACTTAAGACCCTTCTGATCTAGGAAACAAATATGTATCCATTGCATTGAAGTAGAGAAAAGTCCGAGATAAAATCAATGATCATTTGAATGTGTGGGTTCCTGTTGCTCGAACAAAGCTTACACAGATGATGTATTTTTCTCATTACACAGGTTCCTAAATTGTCCTAGATCAACAACATGTTGATTAAATTGGTTGCATCATATGGGCAATTCACTTTGAATAATTTTCTTTAAACTACATTCATTTGTGTCCAGTAATATTTGTGATTTTTACAGTTAATGGTATGATATTTTAAAACATGCCAACTCTTCTTTGAATCTTTTTCTCACAGTGTTAGTTACCTTAGGATTATTCAGATAAAATTTTTTGCATCCATCCACTGGGAAAGGAAAATGAAGAGTTGAGAAATCAAAAGGATCTGAAAGAAGATAAAAGAGCATTTTCTTTTAAAAATGTATTTATTTTTGTCTCCTTTTTTTTTAAGATCTTTTTCACAGTTCTCAAGCCACAGGCTATTGAAATTTCTAGTGCAAGGATTCACCTGGTGCTGAATAATCACATACGACTTTTGTTTGATCTCTTCGATGTGAAGCTTTTAAGTCAGGCTGCTGAGATCATTGCCTATTGTGCTGACCAATACTGTATCCTTGTTCTTCCCTGCAAGTCTGCATTCATCTGCTGCCTCTGGTCTTGCCTTATATTCAGTTCTAAGCTTTTTTTCAGGCAGTGACTGTGTCATGTGCTTCAAATATATATATGTATACATATATATATCTATATATATCTGTCTGAACTGAATTCTTAAGTATTACTATAGTGCAAATACCAATCGGTAGTTATGTAAAATCATCTATATTTATTTAATGGAATTTATGCAAGAATAAAAACACATATATAATGTTTCTATTACATAATGGCTCTGTAATGATAGCTCTGTATTTGAATGTAATTCCAATTATGAATATTTTAAATAAAATAAAATAAGCTATTTTAACATTCAGCTTTGTGAGAGTTTGAAGAAAAGGGGTTTATTTTTCATAAGAAACTCTCAAAATTGAGACATTCAAAACCAGAAATCCTTTCAGCACGATGTGATTCTGAAAAGTAAGCACAATTCAGAGAAGCAAAGAACTCAATATTTAGTAATTTCTGTTTCTTATATAGTAAGGTTTCATAGGATTATTTTTCTTCAGTATGTGCCTCATGCCCTTCATTCTGACTCTTCCAGAAGTCATGTAGTCACTTACCCAGTACACTCTATATGTTAGAGAAATCCTTCTCCTCTTTCCTGGAAAAAGCAAATATATCGTTAGATCCCAAAAGTACTGCAAATAGATGTAAATTCTAACTGAGGCAGATCAGATTAGAACATGCCAAGTGTTCACTGTCTTTGTAAAATGAGCATAATCTTCTAGATAAAGACAATTATTAATTTATATGCTACAAAGGGCTGAGAAGAATCCCTTCCATTCAAATCATCTGATATTCAGAGATTTCTCATCGGTTTATAAACACTCCACCAAATACATCTGGAATTTTGTATCCCAAAGGCTCATTATGCCTCCAAAAAAACCCAACACCAAAGTACTCACATACTGTCTGCAGAAATTCAAATTAACTTCTTCTATGTACATGACTATATATCTGCACTAAATGGAATTACAGCCAGCAGAATCTCTTCTAAGCAACTTGCTTTTGTTAGAATAATTAGCAATATAAATATTCCAGCGTTCACTTTATTGTTACACTAAAGACTCTACTGGGATATATAAAGACACTAATGGTAAAGTGGATAAGTCAATTTACTGTAATTTTCTCTTTCACATGTTGCATATTAGCTCTTAAAAAGGCTGCGGGTTTATAATCTGCATGAAGACTTAAATCTGCTATACAAATGTGAGATGTAAACTTAAACTGAGAATAAGGGGAAGCTGGCTTGTGTGGATGCAAAATATTGTAACATTAAAGAAGTTTGTTGCAAAAGTTTTCACATTGGCTGCCTATGTCATACTTTCTCTTATTCTTGTAATGTTCTCTGAGAGAATGGCACTCTGGTCTGAGGGTGTGGGTGACCTTTCAGTTCTCATGGGTGTTTGTATCACTTTACATTTCCTACTTATTATGACTCTCAAAACCAAACCATTCATTGCCTGAAAACTAACAGCTCCAGACAGGAAATATCTTTTAGCTGTGTGCAGAGATGTCTCCAGAAGATGGCAATTGGCACTACATATCATTAATATATACCTGTTATTCAAATGAAAAATAAGAAAGATTTAAATGGAATTTAAAACCGTGGCATTTCATTAGCATAGTTGTACTAAGGAAACGATGGTGCAGATTTTCTCTTCCACAAAAAAATCTTCAACATTATAAAAACAGTTAAATCAGTTGCAGAAGAATAACCTAACTGTATTAGTCCTTTCCTTTGCAGCTACACAGTTTATTAAAAAAGAAGACTTGGCTGGGGTTTCTGTATTCTGGCACTTACAAAAAGTGGAGGATTTTATTGGCAGTTGGAAGAATTGACTTGAGCTGTACTTTAGACAGGAAAAGCGTAAGACAAAATGAAGGGAAATTGATGCAAAAAAAGCCACTTAATATATTTGGGTTTTTTTCATGTTTTGTCCTAACAGCTTCTTTCATTCAATTGTCTTTTATTTGTTCTTACTTTTTATTCTTTTTTTTTTTAATACAATTTTAACATATTTTAATACCATTTAATTACATATTGGTTCAGCTACAAGCTTTAATTTCTGTCTTATAGCTCTTAAGACATAGCATTAATTATTTATTTGTAATTATAAGCCAAAGCCATTTTGAGTCAGGTAGTTTATAATTCCACATGGTAAGAAGGAGACTTTTGATTTTTCTACTATCTACATGTAACAATGATTGAGATAAAATGGATACTGCTTATAAATTAGAAGCAAAGGAAACTCAGATAGCATGGCATTCACATCCTGTGGCTTCAGCCATTTAAAAGGCAGATAAGATATGATCTTCTAGGCTTTCTAGGTTGCCAGTGATACTTTAGATAGCAAAGAGAACTTTGATTGCATGCTGCTGTTCGGAAATGGCACTTCTTGGTTGGCATTAGCAGGCAAAATTCTTTTGCATTACCTCCAGCCAGTGAATAAGGAACTCTTCAAACCAGCTAAGGAGTTTTTTTTTCTCTCTTATGGTTCACTCATTATTTTATACAGCATTGGTGTGCATACAGGATCAACACTAAATATATTTGATGACTAAATAATACATTGCAATCCTTGCAATTCATATCATTGCAAAACATCACTTTAGTAATATAAGTAAAGCAAAAAAGCCTATTAAAAGTAAGATGAGATAATAAACAGCATCAACCCTCCTTGTTTATATTGCAGCATTCAGTGCTTATTACTGCTCTGTGTAAAATGCTAAGAAAACAATCATTTCCAGGCTTCATAAAAGCAATGCAAATATCAGCAGGTGTATTAGTGCTATTACCATGGCTGTAAAAGGCTTATTTGAGCAAAATGTTCAGGAAGAAACTCTTATTACTTGGCAATGTTACTGGACCATAATCTTTATACAAAAGCTGAAATCACTAGCTGAAACCATAATTGCCTTAAAGCAAGTATGTATACACAGGAGTTCTTAAAAGCTTGGTAAAACAGCCTAAAGAGGAGCAGGCATCTTCTGCTCATCAGTTACAGTGCAAGTAACAAACCCATGCTGGGCAAAGTGGATTTCTTCTGATGAAAGCTACCCCGTTGAGCTTCTTGGAGACACAAATAAAGGTGTCTCTGGATTAAAATACATTTCAAAAGAGGCCATTTCGTAACCTGAAGCAGAACTGGAAATGGAAGGAGTGAAACAGGTTCATCAGATAACTACTGCTACCAGTCTGAATTATTGATTGTAAACTTATTAGTCCTATTGTAATCGATGATAACTGGTCTGCAGATAAAATTTTTCACTGTCTGTATTTATACAGCTGCTACTGGCTATAGTTGAGTAACTCAGTCATGTGTAATTCCACTGGTGATGCGTAAGAAGTTCAGACAGAACCAACAGAGAATATAGACAGAATTTTTTTTCACTTGCTTATTTCTTTGAGAAAGATCAGATCAGTTATTAGGGGGCTGAAGTGAAGGAAAGAAGGAAAAAAAGAAAAAGTAAAAATTAGTAAAAATTAAACAAATATTCACTAAACATGCACAAATTCCAAAATTTCTGGATAAAAATATAAAGATACCATTGTGCTAAAAATTGGAGAAATATATAAAACTAATTATAGCAACAAGCATATTATCCATAACTCATAGACAAAGGAGCAAACAACGTGGATAATACACAAGACACTGAACACAGATCTTTCAGATGGTATAAATCAATTTGCACTTGGTATAAACAATGCATAATTTTTCAGCTTTAATATTTTGGCCAATTTTTTTTTAGATTAAAAGAAATAAAGAAAACCATACATTTAATGCCAATTATGAAGTCTTGAACTTTTTAATTTATACTTGGATAAGTAAGGTACCAAATAAACCACTCCTAACTCAATCTTAATCCAAAGGTAAAGAATGGTCAAAGTAATAAATGTGACTGAGTGATGAATTACCTTTTATCTTCTGTTTAAATGTATTTGAATAGCATAATGAATTATTACAGTCCTAATAGTGTGCAATTAATCTTTAGAAGGATAGCAGTAACTGTAAAATAGAGTAAAAATTGATTGAGAAAAAAAAATCTAAAATCAATTTATTCTTAAACTATAATCCATTTACACTGAATATGGAGATTGAACCTTGAACCTAAACTTCAGTGTTACTGAGCACAAGAAAAAGGAGATCAGCTGCCAAGAACAAACTAAAATGAATGAATAATGATGAAAATTCTGAATGTATGCTTTGCTTTTGGAGAAGAAAAAGGCAACTGAAGGTGATAGAGATTACATCAAACTGAAATCTGACAAACCACATCTGCTACCAAAAAAACTCCCACCAAAACCCAACCACAAAGCACTCTGAACCTGTAAAACTGGAAATACACCTGTGAACGTTAGAGTTGATTCACTGTGGTTTGTATTTTTCAAATAAATAATAAAAAAATATGTTAGACAACTGTTCAGATCACAGAGCAGGACAATTAAAGCAACTCAATGCCCACTTCCAGTCACAGATTTCTCCACTGCTGAAGTTCTCTAAAGATGTGCTGTCAGCAATAATTAAATCAATAATTAGGCATCTGCAAATTATGATGGAAAAACCTGGAAAACTTCCTGGAAATAAGTTAACCCCTACAAGTATCTCAAAGTTGTTAGTCACTGGATAGCTTCAAGCATTTTAATGCATGAGACTTGACCATGAATTTTACAAGAGCAAGTAATTTTGCAATAGTTGAAGCAATAGAGTATTTTACAGAAATCATTTTCAAGGTCTTCAGCTTCTCTGAGTAATGGATTTTAAACTACAACCTGAGATCTTGAAAATTGATTTTACTTTTCTTTTTTTTCTTCCCCCAAATAACCAGTGAACAAAAACATTTCTTGAGTTATAACCTGAAAACCAATGCATCTAAATTATTAGCACCACCGGAAAGCCTTCTATCTACTGAGAGGTAGCATTTTAAGGTAAATGCAAATGGCACAGAACATTGAATTATTTTTGTTATCAGCAAACATTGGAACTTGCAGAAGGACAGACTCTTGTTCTCCCTTAGAAGTCGAGTAGAACATCTTAAGGTCAAAGTTGCTAAAAATGACACGGTTAAGATGTTGCTACATCTTGACCCTCTATACACCAAATTATTCAAAATACCAGGAGATAATTTTGCCATACAATTGCCTACAAGAGCTTTTCAAGTAGTTAAATGTGGTTAGAAGCCATTTTCTATCATTAAAGCATCCACATTTCTGATTTCTGTAAGAATTTGAAAAATAAAACCCATATGAACTGACAGAAGCTAAAAGGATGTTTTGGAACCTCAGCCAAACTTTTGCTCACATTTAATTTTATGGGGAGGTGACACATATCTGTACTGGTTTCATCTGACTTTAAATTGGAAAGATATTTTTATGCAGTCTAATGTGTTTTCTTTATGGATATTCCTTTTTAAAATGCCTTATTCAGAGCTCTTGGGTCAGAGAAGAAAAAGGGCACATATAGGAAATTTCTACAAGAAGTTGTCTCAAAATATAAGGCTTGAACCATAAACAGGGTTTTGGTATGTTTTTGCCAGATCAGGGTTTTTTATGAGGGTTCTTTGGCTGAGTCTGGCTCATATCTACATTCCCTCAGTGTTCGAA